AGCAGGAAAATTGTGAAGGATGTGCAAGGCCCAAACAGAAAAGACAGTAAAACTGTAGACACAAGAGGCACAGTAAACTTCACTTGCCTTCCAAATCCTAGTTGTCTTCTCCTGTTTTTGTCCCGGAAGATCTTCAGTTATGTTCCTTATCTATTGTTGAACAAAAATATTATCATTATATTTTTTAACACTTATTATTTCATGTTCAGCCATCTAATGATTGAGACCACAGTGGTAGAATAGTTGATATATCTTCATTTGGATCTTTATATATGAAACTTGTTGTGGACCCACGCTGAACGCCATTCCTTGTTCAGTTATAAATGAGCACGTGCTCATTAACACTTGGAAGTTAGAGAAGACAAGAGGCAATGGCAGTCAAACTGCACTCTTCCACTGGTTTACCTTACCCATAATGTTCTGAGTGACCACTTATGTTGGGAACAGATTCGGAGCTGTAACTTTAAAAAAAAAAAAAAAAATTTTAGTTCCTTTGGACAGCTGTATCAGAAGTACAGGCTTGATCCTGCAGCTTCTTTGTAGCAAAACTACACCTCAAATCAAGGGCAGATTTTCTGAATAGGGACTACATAGCATGCCCACAGCATTTGGTCACTGTGAAATATGAAGCCAAGTGGAGAAATGTCATCTGGTTTCATTTCTTCTAAAATATGTTCTTCAAAGGACCTTTTCATCCTCTGAATTTGCAGTAAGAAAAAGAAAAGAGCAGTCAGACATAAATGGAGTTAGAAAGGACAAAAAGCTCATTAGAAGTATGTATTTCCTGTAAACTGTTTATTAGAGTTGAATACAGCATTTTCCAAACTGCATGGGCTACTCTCCCTGCCAGTACAGTGCAGCAGGTGCAAGAAGAGGCATGAACTAGGTTCCAGACCTGTAAGCAGCTCAGCCTTATTGCATGGTCTTGTGCCATTGCCATAAAGGAGGTAGAGTTCAGCTAAAAAAAGGCAGAGGGTTAGGAAATTTTGCTTTAACATAATCATTATTAAAATTACAGTTTGCCTTATCAGAACCTACAATTATCAGATTGCTTAGTGCTCTGAATCAATGAAAAGGGTCCAGTTCAAATGCACTTCTGACAACACTTCAGACAACCTTCTTGATGTTAAAAAGACTATTGAAAACAAGTTTTATTAATCAATGCAGTCAGCCTACGTGTCTGCTTGGTGGAACTGTCAAGTTTCCTTCTGCTATGACATTCACATTTCAGAGCTTTTGTGGAAGTGCAAAAAACCAAGTCTTTTTGCATCTGTCACCAGCAGGATGATCACCCTACACAGATCCCAGAGAGGCATTCTCATAAAAAGGCAGATGTTAGTTCTGCCCATTCCCCAGTATTTCTAGTGAGACAGCAGGAGTGAAAGGCTCCTCATTCCCAGTTTTCCAGCAACTTCCTGAAGTAACCAATTGGAACCAAGTTAGCAGTTAACCTCCCTGCTCAGGAGACTTTCACAAGTCCTAGAGTTATTTCTACAGGCACTGCAGATCCACATGGGAGGATATGGACAGCATAAGAGAGGGAGAAAACAGTGTGGAAAGCCCACTGATTTGCTTGTGTTCTTGTTTCCTTGGGCAAATCCTTTACACAAAGCAGCATTTCTTCTGTGTGCAAGTGTATGGCTAGGGCAGAATGGCGTATGGAGAGTGCAGCACTACAGCAAAGATTGCTTTACTCCCCTGGCAGCCTGGCTGGCAGCAGAGCTAACACCAGCTCCTTCAGATTTAGGATTTAACAATAATACTGTCAGCCAGACTAAGCCTTCCGAGGGACTGCCTTCACAATTATCAAGCTAAATGCTTCAACCTGTACATGCTAGAGCATCTCTTTTGATGTAAACTGAATGTGAGTTGTGGGTTGCTTTTCCTCTGAACCATTTTATCCCAATGGCAAATTATGAGCCAAATGAAAAACAATGCCTGGATGTGTTGCTCTTATTAAAAAATTACCTTTGCTTGTCCCTCCGCCCCATGGTGCTCATCTGCCAGGAACAATGGCAGCCATTGTTTTTCTAATCTCTTCTGGACGCATTGCTGAATTTCTAGCAGAACCGCTGCCGAAAGTTGATCATGAAGGATTTGTCCCCATCCTCCACCTGAATGCATTAGCTAAGCAATCCAAATACAATAACACATGACATAAACTTTTGTGTATACCAAAAGTCCTTTATCTTTCTACATCCTTGATTTAGCAAAGCAGGAGCTTAACTGTAAGCAAAGCATTTAATGCATGCTTACCCAAGGCTCACATGTACTTTTCATAAAAGAGAACAGATTACATTTGTTCCTACCTATAATAGAATACAGACTCCATCAAATAATACCCCAGCTTGACCAAGTAAATTTCCTAAGTATCAAGATATATTGGAGCACCACAGCTCAGACTCGCTGTCTGTGGCTTTACTGACATACTGAAAGAGAAAGCTGGAACAAGCCACTCTGCCTGAAAGCCATTTTTACACTTTTTCTGATCTGTGTTGTGCGTGCTCTGGCTGCGGCCTCAGATCAGGGTTTAAGAGAGATGTTCCATAAGGACAGGGGAGGAAGAGCCTAAACAGGAAGGAGGGGACCTCCCCACAATCAGAACAGAACCAGATTTCTGGCCAAAAATATAGGTAAGATTTGAGGAGATAGCTTGGGAAAAAGTTAGAGTAAAGCTGCTTATGGACTTCTGTCTCAGTAACATTCAATGTGATTGTTCTTTACAAACAGTTTTGTAACTGGTACCTGTTCTTGTTGTTCTCTGGTAGCTGGGCTGTTGGGTCCAAAGAAGTATTTTTTGTTCAAGTACTTGTTTTTAATGTCCTTAGATTTTTCCTCCCTTTTTTCTTTATCCTTGGGGGGCATCTTTCTGAACTGTTCAATATCTATCCAGCACATGAGATCCATGCTACAAATAAATTTAAACAGAATGTTATTTCAATATTGAGTTAATTTCATAAACATTCTAGGGAGTTATTAGTTTAACCACAAGCCACCAAAGCATTCAAGTCTTAAATACTAGGTCAGATGGGACTGAAATTTTATGTCATTTTTTCTTTGCTAGGACCATCTGGTTAGACTATGGCACTTGCTGAACAGGCAGATCAAACACACATCTTAGGGATCTCATTTAGGGTCCTTTCTGGGATACTCTGAAAGGAGTAACCTCCTCAATGTACCGCTGCTAAATCCAGCAGGGACTGTGAACCAGAGCCATGGTGCAGAGGTCACAGAGAGAATGAAAAATGAAACAGATGAGAATTTGAAGCAGTGTTGCAGGCTGTGAACCACCAAGAGAGTCAACACCCCCTGTTCTGCCTCCTCGTCTTATCGCCTGAAAAAGGAGTAAGGATGACAGCTGGGAACATCAGCCCCAGAAATCATCCCCTTCCTGCCCCATGCGAAGAGCTAGAGCTTAAGTCAGTCCACAGCCAAGCAAACAAAAATAATATATGGTAAATTTTGTTTCTAGGGCTTTTTGTGGGCTGCCTTTTCATAAATCATTGATTCTACTAATTCTTGCATTATTCATAGTAAGTGACAAATAATCTCCATGTGCATTTCTTGATCTATATATTGTTCATGAACATTTGAGTGTATACTATCAATTTAAGTTTGTTTTAATGGAACATGTATTAGTTTTGTTCTTCAAACCAGAGGACAGAATAAGTGACATACCTACAATTTCAGTTTAATTTATATTACTGTTTTCTGATAGTATCTTATTAGCTGAAGTTTTGTGAGCATTTTAATGAGGACACTCACTGTATTTGCAGCAGGAAGTATGAAACATTACATTCAGACAAATCTGTTTCACTTTTACATTCAGTTAATAACTGGCTTTTTCAAAGCATTAATCTATGAGTAAAACTTTCAAAAGCATCGAACTGATTTAAGAAAGATGTTCCCCTTTCAAAAGTCTTTTGAGGCCCCTACAGACCTAAGTTCTATTGAGACTGAAATTCTTTCATTTGCTAGCTCATCACAATGTGATTAAGTTCACCCAAACGCAAGCAATCCAAGTTACTGTGGTTTATGAAGTTACTCCTTGGTATCTACCTATGACAACCAATCAAATATGTCCATCCTACTTAAAAAGCAAAATATATAATCTCAAAGTGTGTTAGGTTAAACCATTTACTGTGGTGGCTTATCCTAGCACAGTCTACTTTTTCCTTTCAGCGGATCAGGAGCACATGCATAGTCAGTTAGTCTGGCCAGACTAACAAGTGGTAACCCACTAACCCAAAGTAGCACAAATCATCCTGCAATTGTGTAAATATATCCTATCTATTTAACAAAATACTAATTAATGGAATTTTATTTAGTTTCTTACTAAAATTTGTGCCCAGGTACTCAGCAGCCTGTCCTTCCTGAAACTTGGATCACTTACAGTTGGGCAATAATAGAACCACAGATTTTGATGAAGAAGCAAATGACACGTTTGTTGTTTTTTGTTGAAATTTTCCAGACCAGCTTAGTTCTAGGATCTCTTCATCTTATAGTACCATTAAACATCTTTACTATAGCATGCCAGCTGGATTTCAGAGTTACTAGGTCAGGACCCCGCTCTAAAACACTCTTTTGTGAGACTTTTTCACATGTTTTTCTTCATTATGAATTTTTACAAAAGAAAATTTCTCCATAAATTAAACATTTCTCTGCCTTGCTCTGTCACTTAAGGTGGAACTTGTCTGTGATTAACAGAGAGGCAGGAAGTCCCAGAGGCAATTCAGCATAACCTGTCCAGGACCTCATCCTAGCCAGTGACCTGTTCTCTGGCAATTCCTACCATTTCCCCAGTTAGAGAGGAACTCTATACCATAAGTCTCTGAAGTGGGGTGTGCATATCCCAGGGGGTGTGTGGGATGATTCATTGGGGATCAGGAACTTCAATAGCACGTGTATATAATTTGTAAAAAAATAAATATACATATATTCAGGGTGCATGCTCAAAAATTTTTTACTGATGGGGTACACAATTAAAAAAGTTTGGAGACCACTGTTCTAAACAACTAACTCAGAAGTCGCTTGGCCATAGGCACCCACAACATAAGAATCTCCATCTGGACTTATTACGTAGAGTCTTTTTGTAGTCAGTGAGCAGAAATAGTCATCTTTAGGAATGATCCATCCAAACCGGTTTTAGATGTTACCTTCAAAATTAGAAGAATTCTGTCCAGAAGTGTGTATTTCTGTGACTACAGAGGGAAGCTATGATGATAAGCAGAAGTGATGACATGATTGAGTTTTGGCCAGAGGAATCCTGAGCTAGATGTCCATCTCTGGACAGTTTTGAAAAATTGACCGATATCCAATCTAACATGATAGCAGTGCTCGACCACAAGCAATAGGCAATATGCAAAACATCACCTCCTTAAAGGAAGAAAGTGACAATTTAAGGACTTGCTAGCAGTTACGTAAAAACTATATTTGCCTTTTCCTAAAACAGGATAGAGATTAGTGCAGGGCTTGGGGAAAAAAAAAAATAATAAAGGTGGCAAACTCACATTTACTTCTGCTAGAACTTCTGTTTAGATCTTCATTTTTAAACAGATGGGCTCACTTTTTTAAAAACACTGCATAAACTGTGTCTGCTACAAGCTGGTACTTAATTCTGTTCAGATCAGTGCAAACAGAAAACTGCGGTTGCTCTCACACTGTCACAATATTGTGGCTGTCTCCTATTTGTACATTTTTATAACATCCAGCTTTAATTTTTTAAACGTACTAAATTGAATCTGTACTAAAAAAGATAAATTTTTACTCATTATAGTCTAATTTCTCTACTCAGGGGTTTACCACTAATCAAAGGAGAAACTGAAAGCAGAACTATAATACAAACAGGTTATGGCAGGAGAATTTTTACCCCCAAAATGTTAAGAAAATTCAGTTGTCTCAACAATGTGCATGTATATTTCATAAATATACAAACACATTTTTTAAAAAGACTAAAATTTCTGAACATTTAGATAGCCAAGATCCCCAGCAAAGATTTCTTCTGAACTTAGAAACGGGTTAAATAATAATGAAGAAACATACCCAGCAGAATGCTCATTAAGAAAAGCCCAGAACTGTTCTAACTTCTCTTTGTTGTGGATCAGGTCAGATAGATTAGGTTCTGCCAACTCTTTGGGAACTTGACGCAAGTGCTGATCTTCTTTGAGAGCGTCAGGGCAGGATGGCAGACCAGTGTCAGCAACAGTACTCTAAGGGAAGAAATTATTTCGCTTGCATAACTGCTTTTTTAATCTCTATATTTTGTTCAGTCTAATAACCCTTGCCTTAGATAACTCCTGTCTCTGTAGAACAGCTTTTTGATTGCTGAGAAAATAAATTGAGGTAAGGCTCCAGTTCTTAATCAGCTTTATTTTTATGTTTGCTTTAAACATACCAGTGTGTGCAGAGTCCATAATCAAATAAACCAATATATACCTGTAATTTACTTGAAATTGAGGTATTTGCTCAAGATTAAGGTCCCAAAACACATTCCACAGACTTCAGTGGAAACTGTCTCATTGACAAATGATACAGTGGTCTGATGTTGATGTAACTGACAGAAGACCTGTATTTGTAATTAACACAATGGTTGTCAATCATTCCCCAAAATGAATGGTAGAAATCAGACCACTTGCTTCTCCAGTCTGGCATATAATCAGTCTTTCATTGCTGATCCTCAAAGTGTTAACCCTCTCTGATAGAAAAAGAGTTTGTTTTTGTTAGTAGGTACTTGTCTTACCTCATCCTTCTTGGAACCACTCTCTTGATGCAAAGCCTGGAGCTTTCTAAAGTACACGGAGTCCAGCTGTCGAGTTTCTTCCACCAACTCCACCTAATAAAAATAATATCTTATGTCATCCCTACAGTACACATTATAGAAAGATGGAGAACTGGATGGGCACCTTGCCAGTGACAGTGGATAGAGAAGAATATGTTTGCCAGCAATGAAACTTATGTTTAGAAGACATTAGAAGTCACATGCTTGTGACAAACAATTCAATTAAAAGCTCTGGTAGAACAAAATTTTCAGATTTGCGTAGGATTACATGTAGATTTCTACAGAACACCACTAAGTAACCTAACTATATATTTAAGAAAAAACTTTGCATTTAAAAAAAATGCTGAATATATTGGGTTTATAATATATTGTGTATATTGTGTCAGACTTACTTGATTGCCTATACCAGCAAATCATACATCAAAGTGCCACTGAGAAGCAGAAAAACAAGTCTTATAACTATGACTGTCAGTGGGAAATATCAAAAAGATAGAGTGCCACAGATTTCCAGAACCGGAAATTTAAGAGAAGAAAGGTGCTATAATATCTAAAAAAAGAAAGTGAAAGCTTTCAGACTTTCAGTCTTGTCCCTTTACTTAGTTTTATACCAGGTGATGCCTTAAAATAATAAATTGTGCATGATTAGAACTCATGAAGTATTGGCATTTTTTAACTTTATTAGAATGCTTATGCATATAACTAGAGCAGTTACCTGAATCGTGCAAATGATCAGCAAGTGCATAAGGAGTAGTTTGGTGACCCTCTTGGCTGACTAAACCATGCAAATGCAGGTTTTAGGATATTTAGCAAAATTGAGACAATGTGTTATATGGATTAGCACACCTATTACAAAGATTAGAAAGCTGTGGTCTTATTATACAAGAATTTATGTGCAAGAGAGAGAAGAGAGATTTTAGATTAATTTTCATGACACTTTTGTCTAAATGTGAATACCACACTAATCACTGTGTTATCTGAATGCCTTCAGGCTTAGTGTAACTCTGTTCCACTGTTATAAAGTGCTTTTGAGTATTCTTCCCTTTAAAAGAAAACATAGTTTAAATGTAAATAGGAAAATAATTCAGAATGTTTTTCATGAAGTTTAAACAGAAAGCACATAGAGACAGGATAAGAGTCAACAATAAAAAGGAACTCTCCTGCTTTCATGTTTCGTTTAAAGATAAAAACATAGATACATACTGACCACGTCCCAAATAAACAATTTTGGACTCACCTAATTCTTGATAAAATATCTTGTTTCATTATGGGCCAAATATATCCTGCTGTATGGTAGAACAAAAAGGAAGAGTAGAGCCAGAGACTGAAGAAAATACAAAGCAGACCCTGTCTTTGTGCTGGGAAGGAGTGTGCCTAAGCATCAGCCTGCGCCTAGTACAAAGAGACTCTAGTGCCTCCTCGAACAGGTCATTTTATGTCTGTGTATTATAACTCTTCACAAACACATGTATAGTGCACTCAAAAGGGTTTAGTTCTGTTTTTTTGTGCTCTAATTAAGATGTTTGTGTTATTAGGGCACTGAGAAGTCTGCGTGTCACTCATATATCTTGACTCGTATAGGTCACTCTTGAAAAGCAAAGCATCATCTAAACTGAAAGGACAACAGATTATCCCTCCATTAACACAAGGAGGTATAAACTGACACACACATTAACTTCAAGCAAAATTTTACATTTTCAATTCCTGTGTTGGAGGAATTCTTCCATTGCTGGAAGCAGCAAAAACACTGTATTCAGAGAGTGCTCAAAAGCAGAGTCCTTTTCATACAAAAATAGTGTATGATAATACTCAGCTGAGCTGATGACTTGATTCAGTGAGGACTGGCAATAGATACAACTAGTATTGATGATACACATGGAAAATATACGTTTACGACATACTGTAAAACTATTCTCATAGAAAGTAAATAAAATTTCATATTAATGAAAGCATTGATCAATTACATGGTGTTCTGCAGGTCTTAAACAATTAGAGCTGAAATAGCGTAGAAAAAATAATTTATCTGAAAGCTTAGAAAAGATGCTGAAAAGTGAAGAGAATATTTTGCAGATGTGTTTGGATTAGTGTATTTCATTCTGGTAAGTTTTTTTCAATGTTCAAACTTTCAAAGTTTCCTAAGGAAATAAGTTTATCAGAGGATGAGAGGGAAGTTCCCCTTGTGAATTAATTAGAAGGTAGAAAATAAAAAATAAAGAAATAAATAACTTTCATGATGGGGTGGGGTTCCTATTGCAGTCTCACAGGGACCTGCACTGAAGTTGTTTTTTTGAACATTCAGAAACTATCTGGAAAAGGAGGTGAGTGAGGAGACAACAAAGTTTGCAAAATGATTCCGCAGAGCGAAAAATGAAATTGACTGTGAAGAGCTGCAGGATTTCAGGACACTTCAGCGTCTGCATGATAAAAGGGCAGCTGAATTCAACGACAATAAACATTAAGTCATTCCAGTGAGCTCCAAATTAGGGCTTTCCATTAGCTGTTATTACTTAGGAAAGAGATCTTGGAATCATTGCAGATGGCTATTAGCTTACATTTTGCACATCCACTCAAAGTTCACCAGGAGTCAAAAGGCAATTAGAATCATAGGAACAATTAGGAAAGGAGCAAAGAGCAAAACAGAAAATATGATCCTGCCACTGGCTAATCCTTAGTGCATCCAGATCTTGCGTATTGCTTGCATCTCATCAAAAGAATATAAAATAGCAGATACAGATGGAGGTGATAAGTGTAACAAAGGTAGGGAACGTCTTCTGTAAGAGGAGAGGTCAGATAGTCTAGGATTCTTGAATTTCAAAGAGATGTAATTGAAGTAGGATACAACAGAAATATGTAAAAGCGTAACAGCATTGAGAATATGACAAGAAAACAATTGTTCACTCTTCATCACAACATATAAAACTAAGGCACTACGTGAAATTATCAGAGAGGGGTTTGCAAACAAATCAAGATAAGCATTTTTTTCTCCTATTGCATGATTAAACCATGGAACCCACTCCTACAGTGTCTGAAGACATAAAATTACTGAAGACACATTTACCTAAACTCATGGGGAAAAAAAAAAACCTCATCAAAGACTATTAAACACAAAAATGTAGGTAAGACCTCTGCTTCATGAACCTCCACAGCTGCCAAGTGCTGAAGCTGGCATTACTGCTGCATGGTTTTCTGTTCTTATACTCTATTCTTAAATGTTTAATACTAGCCACCTAACAGGATTAGAAGACCATTCTCAACTTTGATTCTAGGTATCTGCTCTCCTGGTTGTTCGTATGTGCATGCATGAGATAGTATCAAAAATACACAGTACTACAAAACTTCCACAAAAGGATTTAAAAATGTTTTGCAGGGGGCACATCCATGCATGTTCTCATTACAGGCTGACAGAAGTATCAGCAGTAAGTGTTGACATTTCCTGTAAAAATGAAGATGCTTCATCTAAGGTCACAGCAGAGAAAAACAGGAACAAGAACTAACTTCCTGCTCTCCAACTCCTGATCCTCTATTATAACTTTCTCCTTCCATATCCACAAGAGATATGTTAAAGACTTGGAATTAGAAGTTTGACCTACAGCTGGTAACTCACAGGTAAGTTTACAAAGAGCAGAGAGTCACAGCATGAACCACTGCCTCCACCATTTCTTGTTCTTATTTGTCAAAAGCACAGGCAGGATTGCAGCTGTCTCCTCTGATCTGCATTAGCCTGCTCAATTCAGGCCTTCAGAGGCTTTCTGGGATTAGAACTGAGTACACCACTGAGCCACCTACTTCAGGAAGCCTGCAGGGCTGTTAGCCCTTACACAGCAGGACAGTTATCTAATAAGTGTTTGGGGCAAATACAGGTGGATCACCATATCCCATTTCCTCTTATGCTAAGCAGTAGCTACACTTTAGTTCTGAACACCAAGAAATACTCAATACAGTTAATATGGACCTAGAATCACTGTACCAACACTCTAGAAACACAGCTTATTTTGTGCTTATCATTAAAAACATAGAAGGCTGTGGCCAATCCATCACAAGAAAATTAATTTTCATCAATGGCAAGATTGCAGAAATATTACACTTCCTAAGTGCAAAGAGAAATTTTGCCATAGCAAAATGCATTCCTCACTAATTCACAGACCAAGGGGCCTATGAAGCCTGCACCCTCCTTTCTGATAGGAAGTTTGCTCTCCACAGGAAGTTCAGACGTAAAAAGGAGTGGGTGAGCAAAACATTCCATAATACTCCTCCCTTATTGACTATAAACGTAACAGAGTTGCATATGAAGGCTCCTGTGATTTTCTTCCCCAACGTAAGAATTTTTCATGGTGTCTTCCAGATCACTTACCTTTCCAAAAGTGTACCTGTCTGCTTCCACCATCTTCATCCATGGTTCTAGCAGAACATCCAGGATATATTCTTCTGCTGGGTCAAAAAGATCCTCAAAAGCTGGGTCAATTTTCTGGTGAATCATGTTTTTCTTACTCTGATGAAGTCCAATATCCATACTGGCAGATGGGGCAATATAAGTTGCATAAAGGAACTATGATAAAACAGAGGAAAACTGCTTCTTAGCCATCATCCATTCCGATGGTCACAGTCACAGAAGGACTTAATGCATATTTTTCCTCCACTGCCCTACTGTATATTCTAAACATATATCTAATTATACCTGCCTTGTTGTTACTAGTATTACTATTTTGTCCTAAATTCAGATATTGCCAAAACTAACCTTCCTGCCATTTTTGCTCATACTTGTTAAAATGGGTAAATCATAAAATAATGCTTATTGTCATTTTTGCTTGGATATATTTGGCTGATTCTTAGTTAGATTCAGATAACCACAATCATTAGAGCAACTGCACTTTTTATGAAGTCGCTTTGTTTTACAAAGAATGTGCTGGGCCAACTTGTGAAGGAATCTTACTTCTTCTGAATAGAAGGGAAATTGTAAATTTAGGGTTAAAATTAATGAAAAATTGTAAGATTTAATTCTGTGTGGAGATTTCCTTGCACAGTTCTTTGATATCAGTGAGACTCCATCATGGTACAGGATCTGTAACAGGAGTTACCACTGCACAACTGAGGTCTAAATCCTTATCAAAACAAGGGTTACAATATACTTTTTTATGAAGCACAGTGTTTGCTATTCAACACATAGAAACAGAAGAAAGCTGAACCTGGAGAATGTTTCCTTCTCACTAGCAGCTCATTCTTGAAGCATAGAGTAATTTTTTTTATTTCAAAGGATTTTTTTTTTTTCAAAAACAGTCCCCTAAGTCAAATTCTTGTTTTTCAGATATTTTGTAAATTGATATGAAAAAGAACATTCAAAACTCAGAAAAAAACACTTTCTTCCAGGAATATCTTGGACAAAGATATTCCAGAATATCTTTCTAATACATCATGATTCTGACTGCGGCTAGGAACTCAAGTGAAAAAGATGCTGTCATAATAAATTTCACATACTTATCAATGTTTTATCTTCTTTGTATTGTCAAAGTCTAACTAATTTTCAAACATATGGTCAGGGGATCTGATTAGTAGCATAAATCAGAATTTCTCTCTACAATGATGCTAAAGAGCACATCCTCACTATTTATTATCACTCAGTTTTGACAATGAAGAACGAAAGTTTCTGATGATTCTAATTTTCCTTATGCTGCTAAAATCCAGCTGTAACTAGCAGATGTACAAAGCACTAGAAAATAAGAAAATAATACATTTACTCTGTGTTCAAGCAGTAATAAAACACTTGTTTAGATTTCAAGCACGGTGGAAGAATGTTTGAGTACATTAAATAATTACATTTCTGTTTGTTTTAAATGAAATTCTGATTTATTAGACTCATTCTTTCAAACAGCAACAGTATCAGGCTACATCCCCATTATTTTGGACCTTAACAACTTGAAATGGACCTTTTAGACTCTCCTAATAACAGGTCTCTGAGGAATAACAGGGCTACAATGGCTGACATCCATCCCTCAATTAGATCTTGTTATAATTACTATATTTACTGCCCATGCAGGATTCCACCCCCTTTCTACATAGATCTAATCACTGAAAACAAAGATGGTTTGTGGCTATTGTGGCCCACATTAGCAGTTCAATAAGGACACCCAGGTGTGATGGTAAGGTCAAAGAATAAGGACATCCACAGGAAGAGTCCTAGCTCAAGAACCAGGCCACATTTATCCCAAATTATTCCCTTCTCAGCAAAACCCCAAATAAATTTAGATTTAACAGAGACAGCATTAATTAGATTCATAGTGATTTCAAAGGGTGGAAGCCATTTTGAAGAACCCTAACACTAGTAAAGTTACAGTTACATCATACTCTCGTCTCATCCAAAATGTTTTATATATGAAATAGCCAAATTAGAAAGGACCAGTCCAATGATATAAAGATGTGATACCTTTAAAAACAGGCTCTTTAAAGAGTGGTTAACCATTTTATTCATCATTAGGGCTATATTACTCCACCTGTTATGACTCATAAAACAACACCACAAGGGATCTGTAAATTGGTGAAAAGGGTCCAAAATAGGTCCTCAATATTTTAACACACAAATGGCTGTTCATTTTTAGCATAGTTTTAAGAATAAAATCAAAACAAACACTCCACAACTTTCTTGGGCGGAACTATTCTTTCCCCTGTGATTTTGCATGAAATGGGTTAAGTACATTTGCTGCTCTTCTTTAGAGCTGACAAAAAATATCAGCCTACAGAGTCAGAAGTTGCCCAAACTAAGGAAGCTTTGGCCAAAAACTATTGTCAATCTGCTCATATAAACACTGTAGTAATATATTGCCATATTAAGAACTGCCTTTGCAGGCTGCTCTACCTGTAAAAGTGTTCCAAGTCCTGTATAATTTCACATGCAAAACTAGGACATAGTAAAGGCAGACTTTCCACCCTCCGCCCCCATCAAGAAACAATAGTTAGGGTTGGTAATAAATGTGAAGCAGAAATTTAGAGGTGGTTAAGCTAGCTATGGGGGTGCACTTTTCCAAATTCAAAGGACCAGACTCTCAGTGCTGTAATCAGGATGGCCTTTTCTCTTTTGAAGGATGCAGATTTATAGTGTTTGAGGATTTGTGCAATGACATCTTTTTTTAAATTCTTGTAAGAATCCATTGCTATGGGATTTGACCCACCAAGTAAAAAGATAGCATCACAAAGTGGCAAAGTGAATGTATGCATTTGCAGATAGGGAAGAAATGAGAAGGGGCTTTCATCCCTGTGTCCCTTGCTGAGGGTTCAGGCACATCTATAGACCTGCACTGATTTGAATGTGAGAACTGCAGGAAAACCAAATGCGAAGAGCTTTAGACATGCCAAAAAAAGAGGAAAAGTGTCTGTGTTCATAGCCTTCAACACTGGGCAATGAACTTAGCAAGATATAGAGAGAAATACACTGTAACCTTTAAAAAGGAATATTCATAGCTTTTTTTGATTCCTATGTCATGGAAGTCATGTTGTGGTTTTCTGAATATCATTGGAATAATGAAACTGTTGTATTAGCTAAGTCTCCTAAAGGATCAACAGGAAAAAACTACATTAACTTAAAGTTTATAAAATTGACACAAAAATCTTAAGCATGTGACATCAAGTGCAGAGCGTATTCCATTTATTCAATGTTTTATTCCTTCTGTAAAACAGAAAGAATTTTCCTACCTACCAGCTATACATTTTCATATAAATGTATTAGAATAAGTGATTAATTGAACCCAAAACCCTATCTGGAAATTTGGTCAGAGTTTGCATCTTGAAATTACTTGTAATGGCACAAATCTAAAGATATGAAATGCTTAGGAAATTCAGATTAAGACTTTGGCCTCATTTATAACTTTCCAAATCAGGGACTTTTCAGGTCTTGAGTTTTGTTGTGTATTCATCCCCAGATGAGAAGGCTTTGACAAGCAATCTCAGAATGACTAGAGTGAAGCAAGAAACATGAAAAAGATGTAAGTCCAAATGCTTTGTATTGCTGTCCAAAGGCAGGGATACTGCTCTGGTCTAAACGAGGGGCTTGTGCAGCTGCTTGACAGAATCACACAGCAGAAGAATACAATGCACTGGCTGGTCTTAAATGGAAAGGCTAAACTGCCTTAACCTCCATCATGATGTTCCACTAGCATAAATCTTGTGTCTGACCCTAAAAGTTCACAGTAATGATAACTCCCTTTATCTAAATTGATTCTAGTGTTAAAAATATTGTACTTCCCGTAACTGTATTAAATTTTCTAACTCTAAATCACTAATTTTTAATCAAAAACTACAATATGTGTTTCCTTATTGCTTTTCTTTCATTATTTATTTTACACTCCTGTGTGTATGTTTATAGTGAATAACCATATGTGTTCCTGGATGATTGTTGGTACTCATCATCTCTCTTATCTGTCAGATTTCATTCTCACTACCTCTCATCCAGTTTCTTTCCCTGGATGAATGAATATACACCTTGGAATGCATTTCCTTACTCTATCATAAAGCTGAGAGAAAAATGCCTAACAAATGAAACAATGAGTAGCAGATACACAGCAATCCAGGTTTGCTCTTGTTTCTAACAGGAAGCAGGCAGAACACCTATACAATACTCTGGATGTCTCTTTCTGTAATAAATAGTAAAATACATACGACAATCTGTTGCACAAATCTGATCCACATTCTCTTAGGAGTATTTGGAATGACTATCTTACTGTGCCAAAGGTGAGTGCAGAAGTTGGGAAGGCATCTCTTCCATAAGCAGACCCTGTAGATTGGATACAGCTTGACTCTTTACCGTGTTCCAATGAAAGCAAGAATCATTTTTGTGCAGCCTTAAAAGGCAAGCTTGAGAATGATACCAAATGTTGCAGCACATGTGTTGATTTGTTATGTTACATTTCAGCTGTTAGTTATGCTAATGGAACAGTTTCACATATTTCGTTTTGATGTATTTACTTTAATGGCTATGTGTATGTAGCTCTCTGCAACTGCCTGGTAACACTGATTGTACGATGTTCTGCTGTCACCACCAGGCCAGCACTGGAAATAAGACAAGTGAAAAAGACCCGGGTCTTAATTTTTAGCCATACAGCCACTGCAGAAAGAGAAAAAACTGATGTTAAATGAAAGCAAATTGAAAATCATCACGGACAGTTTGGCTTGCAACAGCACATGTCAGAAAATGGTTAACTTGCATGCCTGTTGTGATCAGGGTTCCTAGCCACACACAGGCCTGGGCAGATACAGGAGACAGTCAGTCTTAACGACACAGTCAGTTGCCCTCAGCCTCAGGTCGTAAGTAGAGCTGGAGGGGAAAACAACTAGATAGGGTAGCAGTTCAAGTTAGCCAGTGTGTGACAGGAGAGAGGGAGGAATCCGTGCCTCGGCCTCTGCTTGGAGTTTCTGTACAAATAACACTGATTCATGAGAGAATTCTGGACAAATATGCAAAGTTCTGTCATTCGTCCCGGTAAAACCTCCAAATAGGAAAAGAAGACAAAATCGAGGAAGTCCAGATGCTCAGTAACATAAGCCATACAAAGAGATTATTCTCCACCACTCTCTACAAATATTTGTTCCAACAACATGTGAAGTAGCTTTGCTTTATTACAGCATATATTGAAATATGCAGATAGGATGTACTCCTACACAAGGTTTACAGAGGAAAAACAGACCAAAGTTTCACTAAGTGATTTTAAAAGTTCCTTGGAGTCCTTCTAATGATATCACACTGCTGCAGCCTCCTTTCCTGGCAGTATTGAACTATTCTTCAGTCAGTGACAGCTATCGGCACCCGTGTGATGAACCAGTTCACTTTTGTTTTATTCCCTGACTTAAAGTGCATGCTCAGTTAAGACTGCTCATTTACAGGAAATATCAGTTGTGCTTGACAGTATATAAGGGCCTAAGATAAATGGGGGGGATGACAACTGTGAAAAGAGCATAATGATGCCCTGACAATCAGAAAAAGAAAAACAAGACTGACAACTGAAAGATCCGTTTTCGTTACTAAGGTCATTATCTGAGGTCTGGACTATGAGCCCTACAATTCTAACCCACACAGGAGACGGAAGGAAAGGTACAGCACAATTAGATTATTTAGAAAAAATATTATCTCTGATGTTGACACTAAGACAGTTTCCAAATATGACACAGAGTAGCAAAGGGGAGTTAGGTAAACTGAGTATAATAGATAAAACTGGGAACAGACAGCAAATCCTACAAAACAAACTATGCATGTTTAACATTTAAATCAAGAAATTCCATGGAAACAATCCAAAGAGCTTCTTTTATTGTCCACAACCCAGATTTACTTTGGTGTGGGTTGTCAAGATTTGGAAACTTTTCTACTTTCCATCTTCTTTTTAGTCTTTACACTGAACAAATGTATTTGTGAATGGAAAACACATTATTTACAACTTACTTGAGCTTGCTTGCATATTTTAAAAGGATGAAGAGTTTCTTGGTAGAAAAGCTGATGATAAGCCTGTAGGTCAAACCAAAAGTACGCACTGTTCTTCCACAACTAGATATGAAAAATATTGTAAGTTATTGCTATCCAAATATCACAGCTTTATAAAAGGTTGACTTTCCAATGCAAGTAATTATTTAGCTCCTTGGGGTCATCATAAATCAAGCTCAATTTAAGATGGATTTAATCTTCTGTTGCATACTGGCAGAAGGACAACATATTTAATGGTATCGTCTCTGTGATACTATATCTTTTATTGTATCCTTTATGCATAATTGGCCATTAAAATCGTTAAGCTGTAGTTTACATTTGAAGAGTAACCATGTTTCAGTGGCATAAAGCCAGCACTAAAGAAGAAATGCTGATAATGGACATGCAGAATTTGTGCCACGATGAAATAGCATTTTGCAGCAATAACCAAAACAATTAAATACTGTGTACTTGACATATGTTACTGGGGCTATCATTGCATTTTTATTACATGCGTTTCTGAGGCACAAAGTCTTGGCCTCACTGCATAAATTCAAACAAACATCAAAAGATCTTTCAGAAGAAGGAGACTAGATCTTTCCCCAAGTCCTTGGTTTTGATCATGTGCTTATGGGGTTTGAATGTTAAAAATACCCTGAAACCCCCATTGTTGTACAATAAAGAAAGTGTTCCAAAAAGATAGGAGCAAGGAACTTTGCTCCACAAACTGTAGGCTGCCAGACCTGGCATATGAGTGAAATAGGCTCTGCAGTTGTAGACAAATCCTTAAGGAAAAAATTTTCAAAGGAGGCTGGCACCTGCAAAGTCTAGATGACATGTGGGTGAGTGCCTATCTCCAATGAAAAAATAAGTTACTTTTCTTTAGATTTCTATCTATACACATTTAACACTTTTAGCTGAAGGTATTCAGTTTTGGAAACTTTGGCTCTTGCCTTCTGGTAGCCAAAGGCATTTCCAGCTACTGCTGCTGGATTCTGAGTTGTGCCAGCGGTGAAACAGATGTCCATCTTGATTGCATTCAAATCTCCCCTAAAGACTCAATTTTTCTGCAAAGCCACTAAACACTGACTCAGATTCATAACTTGTTCCAACCAATCCTCAATTTACACCCAGCAGTGAATGATGGATCTGCTGACTGCAGAGAAGAAATAGTGTTATGTTTCTCAGAAACCCAAGAAGCTTCATGGAAGCAGAACGTTTTTAAAACATCAGAGATTTTGGACATCACTAACCCAACAAGTAAGAAGGAGGTAGATTATCATGAGTAATAGCGTAGCAGATTTTCCATCTTTTTAATAAATGTTTTTGTGGGTTAAGACCTCATTTTTTCTGCCAAGTTAAAGGCTAGTTTTTAAAAATGATTAGTCTTTTTTTATCCCTGATGGTACAATCAGATTTCCAATAGGTCTGAGACAGTTACGATCTGACAGCTTGGTTAAGACCTGTCATTAGTTTGAATATACACATGAACAGTTTATTGTTGTTGAGGGATTGGAGTCTCACAAGTAATAATTCATCCAGTCATCAATCTTTTTTTCTCCATTTTTTTTTTTTTCAGTCTGGCTGCCCTCTGTAACTTGGCATTCAGTCAGTTGTGGACTAAATTATCACAGAGTAGGAAAATGCTCATACCTTATTCCCTGACTTCTCACAGAAGTGTGTGAAGTAGTATCCTGCTCTGTTCTCCAAATAAAGACACTGCAGCATGCTTTCCATACTTGATCCCCCTAAGACAACATTGCCTGCAGGACTTTTCCCCTAGACAAATAAAATATAGTTATATAGCAAGGAATAACAGGCTTTCATTATTTTCAAATGTCAGTACATTGCAATGGAGGGCCATGCAGTGTGTTCAATTAGTATCTTCATCCCAAGAAATTAGACTCCATTTTGTACTACGTATGCAATTGATCATAGCTCTCCATACAATTTTCCCACTAAATATTAACATCCAATGGAATAAGCCTATGGCTGACGGCATGTAGAGTAGCAAAATGACCATAGCATCCCTTAGGTGGTTCCTCAATACTTGAAATGGGAAAATAAATCTGACCTTAATTCTATCACTAACTCTTTAGCTTTGAATCCGGGGAATTCAAATGATACTAAACCATATCACTCAGCTGTCAAAAGTTGTCTCAGCTCAGGCTACTGTGTTTTGAACCAACAGAAGTTAACAGGTGGTTATTTGGTCAGGCCTAAAAACAATTAACTATCATGGAACAAAAGATATGTCTCCTGGGGTTACACCACTGACATCGGCATCAGAATCATGAGCGTTTTAGGGGAGAGGAAATCCATACCCCTTACCATGGCTAGCTCCTGGAGCATTTAAGGAAGAATACATCCATTTTGACAATGCTCACAGAGAAACGAGAGGACAGTACAAACTAGTACATTAGTTTCTGATGATGACAAGAGAGAAACTTTGGCTGACTTGTCTCTGATAACAGAAGTGGGAGCAGATGAGTGTGGTGGCTGACAACCAGCTTCTTTCCAAACAGTAGCAGGGATGGAGAAGGGCAGGAGGAAGCCAGACTTCTGAAGCAGAGCAGGAAGATCCTACTCCCCAGTATGAAGTTAAACTATGGATCCTGCATTCCCCTTTGCATCATATTTGTGATGGCAAATTGTGTGGTCCTGACTGTAGGTTCCAGTCTAGCCCTGTAAGTATAAATGGTCGGTATTTTCCTTCCTTAGCCAGAGGGAAACTCTGCATGATGAAGGTATATAAAAACTAATAGCTCATGGCTTGAACATTTCCTTAATATAAGTTTCTAACTGCAAATGTTCCCTAATTTCAAAGACTAGCTTTTTCTTCTGTCAAAATTAATAAAGAAGTAAAATTCTTTTAGTGAAGTGATAAAGTATGATTTTGAAGTGAAAAACAATCATGCACAAATGATCAGCAAACTCCATGCATATGTAAACAGATCCAGATTTCACAATATGGGGGGTTTTTTCAGTTGTGAGGGCATGGGTATCAAAACCTCCATGAAACAGTAGGCTGTTTCAAGACTGTTCCACAAACGTGAAAAGTTTAGAATATATTTTAAATTGTCAAATCCTGTCATCTCTCGTGTTCGATTTGTCAGCATTTTAGCAGTTATTGAGAAAAGGCTCTTCTGTGAAGCCTGTCCCTCCTCAGGTTTGCTGGATTGAGGGCCTGCTTAGCAGGCAATAATTCAACAAAGAAAAGAATGAAGTACACAAGGAATAAATAGGAATTGCACATGTGAAGAATTTTCCTCTTATGAATTTTACTATTTTAATGACTTTCTAGGGCAGAGTCAGTTTTCACTGTAAGTCTGGTATACTTTCCTAGGCAGCAATTCCACTGAAGCATTTATCCAGTGAGTTTTTCATAACAGCCCACTGAACACATGGTCACAAGATCAACACTTTCTAGTGAAAATAAACCTCTGTATGTGCCATGATTTCCTATCAAATAGGTGACAGATACCACACAGAAAATGCTGATTTTCTGATTATACCTCTGCATATGGCATTGACATTCATATAATCAAACCAATTTCTCCCCATCATTGACTACTTCCCCTTTAATACTACAGAATAAAGTGTTCTGACCCGTGATTCAAGACAACTAAATTTTCAAGCACTACTTACCAGGAGCAGCTCAGCATAGGTATACTTTCTATGACACTGGTATTTTGAGTCTTCGGTGTCATCCAAAGCTGAGCAACGAATCACATCTCTGCTCACTGACTTTGGCCTGGATCCACAAACAAACAAAATGTTCAATACCTATGTAAGAAAAAACTAGACTGCTTATGAAATAAAGAGCTAAGAAGTGGCATGAAAGAGGTAGAATGACATAATGAACAGTAGAGGAAAAAGTATGTGGAGTTCAAATTGATAATAAATGTAAAAAAATGTAGAGGAATACTTTTTCATGTGGCACTGTGGAAATCATTGACATAGCATATCTTTGAGGGCAAGTGCTTGAGACAGGTTAAAAGGATACTGTCTTGTATATAGAGAGTATCAATGATTATACAAGAGAGGGTAAAATATCTGTATTTGGAGAAATAAACCCTTTTGTGTTGTGGTACAAAAAAATTAGAAACTAATCAGCCAGGGAGGAATTCTCCATGCACGCAATCTGTACCAGAACTGTGCTTCACTAAGCAGATTATTATATGAAAGAAAAGCATTAATGAAAAGAGCAGGATCTAAAAGCCTTTCATAAATATTGGAGGTATATTGGTGAGCAGAAAGGCATACAGGGAACTTTTGTACTTACCACTTTCTACTGCTAGAAATTACATCCCTTTGGGAACTCTGACTTAATGGCAGGGTTGGTGATCTTAATGATCCCTTCAAAGAGAAATTTGGTGTAGCTGGTTTTAATAAAGTTGTTGGTGAGCTTGTTCTACTTTTCTAAAAGATATAAGAAAAATAAGGCAATTCCGATTATTTTTCCACCTTTGTGTTTTCTTAACATGTTCTCATCAGCTGCTCAAATACATTCGAGGGTTTTCAGGACCATTTTGCCTTGTCAATCACAATATGTAAAACTGCAGATTTCAAAAAGTTTCTCTAAATATCTTGCAATATTTTTCAGCACACCTTAATAACCACTATAGCTTAAAAATTACAGTTTAAACAGGTAGAAATGTTCCGTGCACTCTGTATAGAATTACAGAGGATATCAGGTGAAGAGCATGTGAACATATTTTGTGAATCTTTACTAAGGTTACCTTAACTAGGTTCCTATAAACCAGGACTGTAAGGCAGGTACAAACACCCAGACTGAGAGAAATGGGGCATTCTGCCACACCATCACTAACTTACTTTGAACAAAATCATGCTATGACTTTTTGGAGATGCCAGTTGCATTCAGAGTGTCCTCAGAAATTCGCCCAGAGCTGCTGCTCTTTCTAAGCTATTGCAAACACAGTGGTCCAATGGTCCATCAGCTGATTCTGTGAGGTTCATGGGTGCCAGGTCATAGCTTTCTTCAAGTACTGAACAAAATGGGGGCTAGAAAGCCTGCAGAGTTAGGATCCTGTCTGCCTGACCTACACTAGTCCTGGGTCATTAGCACACCCTGTGAAGCCAGAACTGGTCTCTGTAAGAGGCAGCTGCTTCTGGCTCCCATTCCCGCTGTGATCAGCAGGTATCTGGCTCCTGCACCAAGCCTCTTCTGAACAGGAAATCTGTCCCACTGTTTTTCCTCCATTACCTCCATGAATTAGATTTTTTTAAAAATATAATTGTAGTCTAAAACTATCCAACTCAAAGTAACAGAGGTGTGTGTGAACAGATCTGTGGTATAGCCCATCCAGTTCTTAATACTGGAACCACAGTCTCAATTCATGTTCTCCAAGCACCTTCTGTCCTGAGGCTTAACACAGTGTTGTTCAAAACCTGCAGCTTTCATTGCAGTCATCTCATATTCAGGCTTTCAAGGAAGAGCAGAATCAAAACTGAACTGGCCACCTGCAAGCTACACTCTGTGAAAGGACAGATCTGTGTTGCGTGGCTAATGGTCCTCAGCAGAAAGCAAAAATCATGTGTAGCTGATTAAAGGACTGTGGTGACAGAAAATGAGCAGAACTCTGCCATTTTTACAAACCTAAGAGGTAGATTCAGGGTAACTGCAGTGAAGTTGTAAAAAATACTCTAGATTAAGATAAGATTAGTTGAGGGGCAGAATCTGCACTGCCAGATCCTTAATCTTGCAGTTCTGACAACTTTGAGCTAAAACATCTATCCAACAGACTTATGAAATAGCTAGGATGTAACTGAGAAGATAATTTAACTCAATTTATAGCAACCTGTTGCATAAAGTATAGTAAAATTTTGCTGCATTTTTATACACAAACATCTGCAACAGGCAACCATACTAAAACATGGTTCTTAGCAACCAAGTACCATATTCTTGTTCCATTGAATTCAAGGAGTTTTATCATTATTTTTGATGGGGCAAGGCTTTGTTTTTCAATGTTGTGATCCTACCTACCTGAGGAACGGAAGGTGGTATCCTAGGTATGCAAGACTTAGGTGTCAATGGTAGCAATGATACCATTTGTGGAAAAGGATCAATGTCCACCCTTGGTCTCTCATGGCACGTGTGCCACAGCTTCAGTTTTGCACTGGCAGTTTCTATTGCTGTTGAATGAGCGACACAAAATCTGGGACCCCTAGGAAAAAAAACCAAAATGAATACATAGAACTTTCCCAAAATAAATAAGTACTGGGTTATTTGGCTTGTTTTTTTCTTTCCCATGATGTTGTTTACTGTTTCAAGAAACAGTGCTATATGCACCCAGAATTAAAAATCAGTTAGTATTAATGTTTAGACGTTGCACTCTTCCAAATCTAAAATCAAGCTACACGTAAACGAACTCAGGTTGCAAATTCCACACCATTACATAGTTGCCTTTGTATGAGTCTGCAGTAGGATATGCCACATCCATCCTACAGCAAAGAATAGGAAAGGATTGTAGATCACAGGACATAGACCATAAGTCTCATGAGGATCCATAGCAAAGTTCACAGTTGACGGTGTTTATGCCTGCGATTTGTTAATCCCCCTTGGGGAGAAGAGAAGACCTTAAAAAATTTAGCTTATGTTTTGGAAACAAGTTAGAATTTGTATCCTCGCTTAAGCTGTCAATATGTAAAAGGCATTTTGTATGACAGGCACTGAACAGTAAAGTCTCAGGGTAAAATTCCACATAGATGTATACACAGAGCATCCTCCAAAACTTGAGAAGGGCAATAGGGGGAATAGGTTAGGACAGAATTAACCTTCTGGGCCTGAAGGAGTTTCTCTACCCTGCAGCCTAGAGTTTAGTTGAATGGTATCCAAGGCAACTATATACAAAGTAGCTCAGATGCTGTGGCAGTAAAATAAGTGCTCAGTAAGGCAGACCTACCTGGCTTCTCAGCAGATTGCAGTGTAGTTTAGGCTCAACTAAAAATTCAGAGGCAACATCTACTAGTATTTACTATGACACTGCTTCCCATAATTGCAATGGGATAAGTGAGACGAAATAATCTAATAGGCTTATCAAAGAAAAGGGAAGTTTGTTACACAATCGAATCTTAGTTTATGTACATTTTTTCATACCAGTAAAGAAGTAGAGGTTTCACTACTTCAGGCTGAATCCGTCTTAAATGCTTTATATTCCACTGATCTCCATGCAGTAGATCAAGTCTGAGTAACACTTCCGAACTGAGGAAGTAGTCTCCACTGCTCAGCAGATAGAGTTTTTTCATCTTACTGAGTTGCCTTGAGTCAACAAAAAGAGTCACATAAGTATGTATCAGATGCTATATAGAAGTTAAACTGCTGTCATGCAACATGTTTTTAATTGCAAGTGGCAGAAGCCAAAACAATTTTTCTACAAATTAGAGACAAGTTGTGTGTAAGATAAAATGTACAGTGCCTTAGAATAGACAAACTGAATCCAGCAGAGCCTTTCGCTAAAGCAGTTTGTCACACTGAATGCCCTACTTGTGAATTTAAGTTCTTTTATTCTTTTTTAAACTTCTGTTGCCATCTGTTTTCCAAATCTTTTTCTAACAAAGCCTTAATACTATGGGCGATTCTGACTTCATGTAAGCTTTGCAAACATGACTCTGCAAAAAGAGTTTTATCAGTTTTAGCAGAGTCATTCCTGACTTACCTTGTCAGAACACTCATTATTGCTTTAATTGTGTCTGTTCTATTCAAACATTAGAATTTATTCTGAAATCTCAAAACCTGCATTGATCTAGCTGGGTTACAAGTTAAAAAACAATGGGAATAATTGTTAAATAACGTGAAGTACCTTTGCTGCCTTGTAGTATCCTTGTCCTTAAGAGCCTTTAGTCTTTCAATATCCATCCAGAGCCACCAGTACCTCTCCCCAAGTGTTCCTTTAATGAACTTCTTGAATCTTTCAAACTGCTGTCTGTTGCCAGTGTCATAAGTCCTGTGCCTAATACACCAGGCAGCCCTACTGTCTGCCCCATCACTTTCAGAACTTGATCTTAAGCTTACTTCTTCAGTATCTTGTTCTCTTACATCTCCCTTGGAGTCCAAGACAGTAAATGGAGAAGAACTTTGGGAAAAGAGTGACTCCGCAGTACCATGGGAAAAATTGTTATTTGCTAACTCATGTATAAACACTTCAGGCTGTTTGTGGAAATTCACATCACTCTCAATGTCAGCAGCTGGCTGGTGGGTCAGTTCTGAAATAGGTTCCTTCATTACAAATTGAGTATAAGCTGGTATGAATTCTTCTAGTGTCTGAAAAGTTGTGCTTTCCTGTCCATTTTCTTCTATTGCTGCACTGTTGCACTTTGGGTCTAGATAAACTCTTAACTGAGCATGGGAAGGAGGTTCAGCAATGGCCACAGAAGAATCCTCTTTAGCCTCTCTGGATCTCTCCCTGATAATGTTGGCTTTTGCTGATTCTGTCCATGAAGGGTAAAGGAAACTCTGTTGGTGGCATTCCTTAGACCAGGAGCCTGATTCTGCATTAAATTAGAAAAGATAATTGAACACCCTTTTGATTCAGGACTGTTCTCTTGCACATTAATATTCCCAAGTTAAAAGATGCAACATATTTATATTGTGCTGCTGCAGAACAATCAGATCATGTCAAGCCGCAGGGCAGGGAATAGCAGAAGTGCTTATGCTGTTGATATCTGGCTAGAAACTCAGCCCCATGACTCAGAAATTCATTCCCTGTTGAATTCCAGCAGAGCAGCAGAGTTCAGGAACAACTCCCTCTGGAGCCAATTGTCCTGTTTACTCAGCTGAGCATCCCAGCTCCTCAGCACTTGTTAAACCACCTTGTTGTGCTGTCAGGCCTGGTTTCTTCCTGAGCATTTGGTCATAGTTTTATCAAAGTCTCAGTATGTAGCAGGATAGTTTTTTGTTTAGGCTGAGGAAGCTAGTAAATTATAATCCTTTGTCTACTTACGTTGATTATTGCAAGAGATAACAACATTGAACAGGCCTCTGTCAGCTGGGTAAAAATCTTGACATACATAGAAGGACGACAAAACAAATTATTGTGTCAAGGGCTCTGGAAACATTTAACAATCCTGCAGTACAGTCTGCCACCCAGGAATGGTTCCTTTCCATTTAGAGATGTTTCATAATTAACAAGTTCAGAACAGTGACCAGCCCTGGTTTTTTGGTCTATATGTCTCTACTTAATTCCTTTTACCTGGCTCCTCTTCGACCCCATGCTATTAAGCATGCCCTGCCATCCTGGCTTGCTGAGAAAGAACTTACTGCTTTAACTCACTCAAATATCTTCTCTACTTCTGCCAGATATTTAGCAAATTGAGTACTTCTGGAACATGTTAGCAAAGATGACCTTGACTGTATACACTCCTTAACTAGGTTAATGCTGTACAAGGCAGTCCTGGAAAACTGAGCAGAGTAACTACAGATACCATGAACAGTAGCAGAATTGAAGTGAAAGGAAAAAAAACCCAAAGTAATAATTGCATTGTGGCTCTACAATCTCTTCATATCAATCCAGTGTTTAAACTATAGAATAAATGGAATCTTCTGTATTTCCCTAAAGCTAAGATGTAGAATTTCATACTCTATTGTATCACTAAGGCAAAACATTGTTGGTGAGGAGACTACTACAACCTGTAAGCACACACACTACATCAGACAGTGACAGAAAATGGGCTAAATGTCTCAGATTCACTAAATTCACGTTTGTAATGTTATCAGCCTGTGTAATCCTCTGTGGTGGCCTAGTTAATAAATGGCAATGGCAGTTAGACATTCTTTCCATCTTCCTCTGAAAATAAACCACATCTAACCAGTGCTGGCCACTGTAACAGACAGACACTTGGATTAGGAACACAGCACATACATAATTTAATGTGTAAATACATATGGCACAATATGTCAACATTAATATAAAAATCAGTGTGATTTACAATACCTTTTCTTATTTCTAAACTATTTCAAATGTTTTCACTTGACAAAGAAAAATTAGAGCTTCTCAACACAGTTCAGTGAAACTGAAACATGAAGAATTATTTCAGAGGACCTGAGGGAATTAGAGAGAGAGATACACAGCTCTTGAGTAATCAAAAGCCAAGTGACTCAGGGTTTTGCCCGAGACATTAATTGATAACCTTGATCTAACTGAAGCAGTGAACAAGAAACTCAAACTGGATTGTCTAAGTAAATACCTTCTTCTATTGGCTCTCCAATTACAGGTTGACTCAGAAACTTAGCTGATGCCCTTTATTGCTTGCAGTGCCTCACCCCTGCACCAGGTGAATACTGTGCCTAAAAAAAATTTTCTGACTGAGAGAATGCTGGATTTCCCATGAAATAAGCATAAAGAAGAGTAATAAGCACATGTAAAATTAAGGTCTGTGACATAAAATAAAGTTTTCAGGGAGAAGATGCAAAATATTCATTGAGGCAAAATGCTGTTGTTGACTGCAGGACAACTGCAGGAAAAGAAGGGACAGAGAGGCTTTCCATGGCCCTATGGCCAGCCCACTGCAATACACAGTGATGTTACTTTATGATGCTCTGCAAGAATGATGCATTTGTGACCTCTCTGCTCAAAGTAAAAATTAGAGGTAGAGTCATGAGATGCAAACAAGTGTGCCTTGAGTACCTTCGTTAGTAACCCATAAATCACCAACATATTTCCTGGAGTGATCCGCACGTGTTTGGGGAACAAGACAGGATTCTGGATTTACCATGTCTTCCAATTTTCCATTGAACTCCCAGGGCCCAGTGGCACAAGTCTCAGAGTGCAATGGCTGCTTTTTCCTCTGAGAATCAGGGAGAGAAAACTCTCAACATATGAGCTGAGAATTCTCTCTTCATCTTGCTACTGCCTACAGAAGTAAGGCTATGTAATCAGGTATGCCTATATGTGCATCTGCATGTTCTTTCCCACTACCTTTGAAACCTGCTGAAGAATTTCAGTTAAATTTGACAGATAAACAAGAGTGTCACAAACTATTATATTCTACAAGATTCATAAAAATTGGCAACCAAAGGGCCCTTAAGTGCCCAACATAAATACTCTGAGAAGATGGCTGCAACACAAATCATACATTATCAAATACCCAAAGAATCCAGGCAAGAAAGTATTTCAAAATACATAAAATACATTGAATTAAAAAAAAAAAAAAAAAAAAAAGACCCTCAGCTGAAAGTTATGGACATCTATGAGACAGAATTATGTAAGAAAAGAAACTTCTGCTATCACAGAACTTGGCTACTAGATCAAATTTTAATTTAACGTTGTGGTTATGGAAAGAAACAAATCCCCATCTGAAGCCTAAGACACCATGCAATACTCAGAAGGTAATAAGTAGAGTTAGCAGAAATTCCTTGAAATGCCTTTTCTTTCCACCTGGTCAGACTTGTGTTATAAACACTATGGCTTGAGTCCCTGTTACTTACCCAGAAGACTATCTTTTTTGCTTAATGAATCACCTCTTTCATGCTGCCCAGGTAAACACTGGATATCTTGAATCTGACTAGAAGCTACAGGACGCGTAAATGAATCTGTAGTTTTCATGTTCATGGATACACTTTGTTTTGCTAATGTAAACCAATCCTTTGTCTGAGAAACCGTAGCCTAGGAAAAGAAATGTCATAGAATAATTCAGATATCTCTATTTATTGCAGTGTTTCTTAAAGCAGAGGGCTTGATGTCTGTAGTAATTTTGTGCAGTCCATTTGTATATATTTCTGTAACAATAGTTCCCAGTTCTGTTTAAGCCGTGTTATAGCCCATTAACCTTCTTCTATAGTGCAAAGAACTTTGAAAAGAAGGGATATTCAGAGAATCAGTTGTCTAATTAGGTTGTGACCTCAGTTACAGTAATTTAACCCAACGCATTAAATCTAGTGTGATTAAATACATTTATACACTAAATACATTTATTTTACCTGGCCAAGCGATATGTAGAAATTCTTCATGGTCAACAAAGTGTCATCCTCCTCAGGAGAGGGAGAACTTGGGTCTTTCTTCTTTATCCAGGGATAATAGTCACTGTCTATAATGAACTTAATGCCCGTCTTGCTCCATTCTACCTGTGATATCAATTTAGCTAGCCTGAAATTAAATGTTGAGACACGAAAATAGTTAATCTTAGTTTTTAGTCAGAGAAACAGTTGATTTTTCCCTAGAATAGGCAATTAAAATTATGGTCATAAATTGCTACAAGAAACTTCATGATCTGCTTTATTATTTCACCCCTCATCTCCTGCCACATATGTAAACGCCAGTACTGCCATTCCATAGTCCACCAGCTTTACAGTTGGTGGCCAGCTTTGCATTATCAAGCTTTACCAGCAAAACTGATTTCTCTCAGGATGATCTTGCATGTATCTATGCAGATCCAAGCGCTGCCAAGAAGCCCTTGAACATTTTGATTGCTAAAATGCAACTATTCTCCCAGATTGCAGAAGCTCTATGTCACTACCAGACACTATATTTCCTGGTTCTGATAGGAGCAATCTTCCAGCAGTCATGCCACAGCAGTGATCATACTAATTGAACTTTCAGGTGATAACAAAGCAGTTGGTCCTAGTATGTTTAGCTGGCTGCTGTACGGGGACTTCATAGTACCAAACAGCACTCCACTGCTACCTTGTGTTAGTGTGAACCTCACGATGTTCAGAAAAAGGCAACCTTAGAACCACGTGGCAATAATGAGGATGCTCTGGGCTCAAGAACTGTGGCAGAACTTACTCAAGTTAGAAAGTAGTACAAAACCAACCAACATGTGTGTGAAGGGAAGAAGCAGCCTGTGCCTGAGCCTATGGCCATGAGCTGAATGCCCAGTTTCATATGTCCCCCCTATTTGAGGGCAAATAGGATTTCATTCTAAGGCTGAAGTGTCTTCATCTTTAAATGCAGGTTTATGTCATTCCCTTAGGTAACTCTGCCTTATCACAGAATCACAGAATGGTGGGGGTTAGAAGGGACCTCTGAAGATCATCTACTCCAACTCCCCTGCCAAAGCAGGTTCACCTAGAGCACGTTGCACAGGACTGCATCCAGGCGGGTTTTGAACATCTCCAGAGAAGGAGACTCCACAACTTCTCTGGGCGGCCTGTTCCAGTGCTCCGTCACCCTCACAGTAAAGATACATTTTATACAAACATGTGTTAACGTTTACCACAACAGCAGCTGAAACTCAAGTTTCCTCTCTATTCAGTGTAGTCCCATTCCCTCACATTTTGACCCCACAGGTGTTCCATACAAATTTTGCCACTCTTCGTAAGGATACTCAAAACAAATGCTCCAGTCACCTTTGAGCATCCAACACAAAAGTGCTAATTAACCGCACAGCTGTTTGTATCTTTAACCGGTTCTATTTTTGCATTATATTCTTCTCTCTACTAAGAGTTTTTCCACCTTTGTCCATAAGTCCTCAACCTTTTCCATATCCACCCTTTTTTACGAGGACACAATTTAAAAGACCACATTGTTGAGGTACAGTGAAGGCTGCATTTGTTTATTACCACTCCCCCACAACAATGTTTAGTCCAAGTTACAAATACCATGGAATTTTAGAGGAAGCCAAATAACTTGCTCTTAATTTTTCAATCACCTGGTTCAGTGGACCAGTGGGAAGTCAGTGTAGCTCACCATCATATTCCTTCTTCCTTAAGGATTAACCCTAAAATATATCTACAATCCAGCATTCAGGGAGACAGAAGACTCAAAATGTACAAGATCGAATGTTTAGTGTTTCACAAGGCCCAGATACCTGTAAAGCAGGCTGCAGATAAAGGCCACATGCAGCACCCTCTCATGACTTTCTTGTTCTTTGCAGTTTTCCCCTTGAATTTAAGTGCAGTCTTCAGGATATTGAAAGTTAAAAATATTTTGAAAATTTTCATACAGAAGTCTATACCCCAGTAACTAGTCTGCCACTACAATCAGCAAACATGAGTTTTGTGAACAACACTGACAGGTTGCCTCTGCTTTTAGGACCCCTAAAACACACTGCATTTATCAGCATCTAGACACAACCTTAAGGGATGATCCTTCCAAAGAGCACACTAATCTTCCTCAACATCTGCTGAAAGGACATCTGGAAAAATATAGCAAGTGTATGACCGTAAATCACCCAAATATGCCACAGCAGCCCAGAGAGAACCGTGCAAAATGAAGTTTGACAGTGGGCCCAAAGATACAAAACTAATAACTGGAATAATAAAGACTGGCTTTTTTTTTTCCAAATAGATTTCATGGATTCATATCTTTCACTGACGCGGCCTCTATATTGATTAGAGAGAGATACATTGCTACCATGATATCTCAGTGGAACAGAGATTCAGAAAGTGGTAAACCTGGCCTCTATATTGATTAGAGAGAGATGCATTGCTACCAGTGGAACAGAGATTCAGAAAGTGGTAAACCCCTCTTTCTCCTTCTGTAATGGTGTAATATATGTAATTCATGGCCAAGGAAAATTACAGAATGACGAGTGGAAAAAAAGTCAATGATTTTACTTTATCCAAGTCACTCACATGCTAAAATTAAACAGGACAAGAGGTGGGAGAAAACATATTAAGGGTACCATAAAGATGAATTAGTCAGAAGAGAAAAATGTACAAATTTAAAACTGAAAGACAGCATAGAAGATTGCAATACCTGTATTCAAAGTAACAGTCGCTTTCTAGAAATGCTGGAAGCCTTTCTTTCTTTATCCACTGAATTGCTTGTTCTTGATCAAGACACTATTAAAAAAGAAATGCCAAAGATTTGCAGTATTCTAGACTTTCTTGTTTTGTTTACCATGTAACTGATTGACTCCATCCCCTTCTAGAGAAATATCGTCTGGTGAAGACAAATACACAGTGATCACCACCTTTGTTATCTGGTTGAGTCTTAATTGTGCTGGAACAATAGAGTTAATTCACTTTCCTATGAACAGCTAAAAGTTCTAAGTCTGATTTCACCTATAGTAGTACAACTTTCTTAACAGAACATGGGTGTTTTTTCTTCAGAAATAATGGTGTATGAATCATGCTTTTACTGTACAATTCCAAATGCAAATTAGATGCTCATAATTTTTCTGCAATAGGAACCTGCTAATTTTTTTGACTTTATCACATTTTATAAATAACAACTATTTCATTTTTCCTCAAGAATTTGAAGAATAAGGAACCCTTAAATTAAATTATATTCCCAGAATGGGAGACCTGTGGATATTAAAAACAAAATTAAACAAACAAAAAGTCAATCAGTTATCATCTTAACCATTTTTATGTTGGATTGCATAACTTCATCATGCACAGTAACTCTTGTAGTGGAAACCTGTGTGTGTTATGAATCGGGGCCATAAGGGAGATGCCTCCAAAGAGTGGTTCAGGGGGTGGAAGGGAGGTGTTAAGCAGCAAGTTACACAGAGCCAGTGAACCAAAAAACTGTGCCTAGGGTCTTGCACAGAGAGCAAACTCTCTGACTATGGGCCACAGTCTATGGTCCTTAGCTGTCTCTCTTAGGAATGACACACAGTATACTTATTTATTTATTTATTTATTTATTTATTTGAGAGCATACATTTTCCACTCTTTGGGGATGATATGTTTTATTTATCTGAGGTGCATTTTTCCTTTTAGGGAGATGATGATTTGGAAGAATGCAGTAACTCCACTTGTCCATAAAAACAGGTGAAGTTTGGGCAAGGATGGATGCTACTTGCTCTAACAAATAATCAGTTCATGTAGATTATGTTTTAAATTTTATTTCCATGAGCTAATATTCCATTAGGGACAAGGGTTATTTCTGCCTCATATATCTCTGTAGGGGATTAAAAAAATCTGAATTACTCAGAAAGTGGGTGGTTTCATTTAGTGAGAAGAAAATATTTCAAAATATGGAAAGCTTATGTTGGCAGCGGCTCATACAATGTAATCTGTGGAGATGGAGACTAATTACTCCCAACCACACAGTGTATGCCTCCTTTTGGTAACTGACAAACTTTTTTGAAATACAGAAGACCATCTCTTTATTTTGGCATTTAATATATATGTATTTACTGACTCACAGCTCGGGTTTTTATCTGAGTGATTCACAACATATTCACATCTGTACATGGCTGGTACACAAAATTATATGTACTATCAGAAGGAAAGAACCTCTGCTCTTTCCCCTTCCCCAGAGAAAGATGCTACATTTAATCTGATGGGTTTTGTTACCTTGGTTAACTTCCTTACCCAGTCAGCGTTAGGCCTTGCTGGGACCCAATCCAGCAAAGCTTTTAGCACGTGTTTAAGTTTAAGCATGTGTTTAACTTCCCTTGATTAAAGTTGAACGCATACTTAAGTGCTTCGCTGAACTGGGCTTTCTCTGAAGTAAGGTATGTGGGATACCAGCCAGTTCCTTTCCATAGTTGTGATCAATTCTACCCAACCCCGCAGGATTTTTCTTAATATATTTTACACCAAATTGATTTTCACTATTGATAAGAAGATATTTCCATATCAATAATTTGCAAGCATGCACGCTACACACATGCATAAAACTTTTGCTTCTCTGTAAGTTTGTAACAGTCTGACAGGGAAGTAAAATTCAGAGAAAAATACCACTGGATCTATTTCTTAGGCAAGATGTGTTTAAATTCAGGCTGCAGCCTGAAAGGCCTAGTAGGACTTTCTGATGTAGCTCATTTTCCTTAGTAATGCACCAGTGATGGCCACTCAAGGTGACTTTCTCTAGCAATGTAACATTCAAAGCAGCTGCCAATCTCTTCAGTCAGTGTGAAGAAAGCAGTCAAAGCAAAGGAGGCAGCATCACCCAGTGCCTGAAAGATCAAATCCTATTTGATTTGAACTGAACTACTTGATGCAGTTGGTCTGGGTTGACTTCTTCTGGTTCATAGTGTTGTACACTGAATGAAGCTGCCTTCTTTCACCTTGTGTAGCTGCAGTAACGATTTTTGGCATGCTCTTTTGCAGGTCACTTTGAGAGGTCAAGTTGAACTGGATGAGGCATCTATGTGACCTGCCCAGTAAAGCGTAAGTCAAAAATAAGAAGAAACATCAACCTTTCTCCCAAAAAGGAGAAGGAGGTGTACCAAAGCATATTGTTCTTCAAAAGGCCATAATACTTCCCACTTATGGAAAGTGGCCTGGAGAAAGTAAAGTATTCTTAAATATTACAGGAACTTTGTTGCTCAAAACTACATGAAAGATGTAAGTAATATTGAAGACAAGGTGTTGGCTTTGAATTTGTCAAGAAAGGCCATCCACAATTGCAATGATGTGGGGTTATGCCCAAGAGCAACGTTAACCATACTTGCACAAGCACACAATATTTCCTCAGCTGAATCCTGAGAGCAAATAAGAAATTGAGAATAGCTTTTCTGCTTTTGTGCTCTTGAGCAAAGTATTTGTGAAACTAATAATTTAGCATGGTAGGGATGTCTGTGAGCCTTGCCCTATTGTAGCACTTGGCCATTTAGATGCGGATAATTGCATCTCACATTACTATCATTTTGTTAAACATTGTTGCCTTTTGACATCACTCAACACTATTTTCTTTTCTGAAAATCATTAAGCTTATACTGGGTGAAGCAGCAGTCTGTTACAACTCTCTGCTTTTCTCTCAGCTTTCCAGCTATGACATAATTTAGGGCAGTCACTTCTAAAAATGTAGCGAGACCTTAGACTGGCCTTGAAAGAAGTGAACTGAATTCACATCAATCACACCACTGCAAAGTAAGCAAGGAAAGAATAAACCAGGTATCCCAGTGAAATACTTCTTCTCCTCCAAAGCTGTTGTTTAAAGGTAAACTCTCACAACTAACTATACTGTCTTGTAGTCTCTCAGGTGCATATGGTGCTTCAATTCCCAATTTTAACCTGCCTATTTTGGTGCTGAAGAGAGCCCTGAAAGTAAACAGGTAAAAATACCAAAATTGATAGTGCCTGAGAAAGTCTGAACCAATAATTTTTTTCTAAAATCCAACCTATCTTTCCATTAATTTAACTTTCTAGTTGCCAAAGATTATTTTCTCTGGCCATTTCGATTGATGCTAACCATGTAAATCCTTTGGGAATTAATGGAAGAGAGACTTATGTGTTGCCAGACCACAGATGAGCTCATAGCCACACAAGGAAATTAATTAATAAGGAAAGACTGAGATGCATTAGTTTCAGTCAATTTACACATTCCAGGGATCACTAGTAAAGTAACTGTTGTCATAATATTTTTTCTTTTAATATTTAAAAGTATTCAGACCACACAACTGAATCCTACCCTACAGAATCTTCAAAATTCTGTGCTACAGGATGTACATGTGTAATTCCATTCACTTGTCTGGTAGACACATGTGCATTGCAGGGCATAATTTGGCCCACCATTAAGTTTTCCTAACATAAATTAACGTTTTTCCCAAGCTACCAAGCCAAACACAACAATAACTACTGCCAGTATCTCTACAGTAAGATCTAAATATAAACTCAGGGGTTAGAAGATGCTTACCATAGTGTTGTAATTTGTATCAATATTGAAGGTTAGGGAAGTGCTGCACATTTTGGAGAGCTGCCCATCATTTTTTGCTTTCCTTAGAACATCATAAATGGGATTTGGAGGTTTCTGATCATGTAGAATTTTTTTCATCTGGCTTTCCATGCGTTGTGGGGCATCATTAACCACTTCAAAAACCCCAAAGTCAGAGTTAAACTTAACTGGCTGGGCAAAAGTCTACAAAAGAAATTTGGAAAGTTTATAACATTGTAATAAAGGAACTCTTTCTTTTAAGGAAGTTACTTTTTACAGTATAGAAGCATCCTACAGAATGCAAGCTGCTATTATGAGGCTTTTTTCTCTCACCTGCTATAGTTTCTCTTCAAGGCCTGGAACAGTATTTTTTCTGCATTCTTGTTCTTTAGTGTCTTCACTGTATAGTTTTCCAGTGCATTCCTACTTTTTGTCTCAGCTATGCTTAATTGTCAGGAATTTAACTCATTCTAGATCACAGACCACTCTTTTTCACATGCAAGTAATAGATCCAGTACATAGATGTTTAGAATATGTAATTCACAGTGACTTCAGAAACTGTTCTGAAGGGGACTAGTTACCTGTAGAATCAGCTCTCCGGTGTCATTCTCATTCATTACCACAAATAATCAAGGCCTGAAAAGACTAGCAATAAAGCTGACCTTTTAAAAGCAAGGTGCATTTGAGGAGGATGAATCTAAAGATTTTCATATGTAGGAAAGGTTTTTCTCCATATTGTTACTTGTAGGTCAAACACCTAGCAAAACCTGTGGCCTATAAGAACTTTTATTATACGTCACTAGCTCAGTCAGATAGTGTGTAACACATGAGGTAGAACAAACTTCAACTTCAGCTATGTAACTGTAACTTTTGTCAACTCCAAAAAACCCCACTCTGTATGTAGCACATTAAAACAGGGCCACCTCTCATCTTTTGAACTCTGGTATTGGGCATTTCCCTGCCTTTTCTTCTAAAAGACCAACACACTTCTATCTTTCAAATTCTCTTACTTGAAATGAAGTGGAAAAATATGGATGGATTTTACAGAAGTAATGGGAGAATATCCAAGACAGCTATGAATAAGAGTTTATATACAACCAGAGCATATAAGCATCTCCACACTGAGCTGGAGGACAAGGAAGCACGTTGCATTTAAGAAATGAATGAAATCCTGGCCATATTCAGACCTAGTGCCAAAACTATTTTTGGCCTCATTCCAGATAGGATCCCACCTGACATTTGTACAGTTGTTGTTCCCTTGCACTTTATAAGATTATTTTTTTTCAAGCACTGTATTTTTTAATTTCCTTGATCTTTTTCATATATTACATATATACACATAGACATCATTCATATACATATTACGTATGCTGAATACATGCTACATATAATACAGAAATACAGACTGATTTTATTCTTCTTCACACCTATATAAGTCCAAAATAACCATATCACTGTAAGCTATTTTGTTGCTTCTGTTTGAAACCCCCTTGTTGATCAAAGTGTTGTAGAGCAATGCCCAGGATCAAACCATGTGGCTGCAACATGTGGTTACAACATTCCCTACTTATCCCATAATGTCTCACTGTGGAGCCTCGGCCTGGCAAAGCCTGCAGCATGTGAGAGCTTTAAGTGTATGGTTAGTGCCTATGACATCAGGCTGTCGCTGCTCAGAGCCATGCACTGAATTGCTTTAGTCTGTTTAGTTACCTAACTTGAAATCATGGCTTGGTTTTTGTTCTCTGACACCTTGTGCCTCTTTTGGCATTAATTTTCTCCAGGGTACTCTGCAGGTTTTAGTGCTTTTTCTCCAGATGTACTGGACAGCATTTTAAGGAGGCTTTTATGTGTAGTAGCTTTCTCTATACTTCACTCAACCCCCCTCCCAATTTGCTATGTGTACATTTGATTTACTTTCAAATCTCATTTAGGCTGCTACCAGCTTTTAAGTGGCTAACTGTGCAACCTTAATAACATCCAAATGCATTCTTCCTTATTTATTTTTTTCATGTTTTTAAAAAATAAACAGGAGAAAGTACACTAAGAAACAAGATGCTTCAGTCTCTCAAGATTTGAAATGCTCTTGCTTGTGGAAAAAAGCAAACAAACTTCAAATTCCATAATATAGGGATACATGACTAGACATGACCAGATTATTTTGGTTCCATGTTATTCAACTTGAAAACTAAGCAAAGACAACATTAGTTTATCGCACACATCTAGTTTTACTTAGTCCTTTGTAACTTACTCTAGATCTAGGTTTTTCAGTGCACATTCTAATTAACTGAAGAGAAAATATACAGCAACTTTCATGTAGTGAAACAGATGCTACTGATAATTTAAAAATGTAAAGTGTATTGCTATTTTGGAAGTCTGGCTACAAATATGGATAAGGCAATATACTAGTAGAACAGAAGAACATAAACACATGGGATAAGAAGATTAAAATTAATACACTATATACTCGACTGAAAAAGGTGGTTCTAGTCCAGACTTCTGGGTTTTGGACTAAGGTGTAGTTAACTATCCCCAGGAACATCAAAAGGCATGCGTACTTCATATCATTCAGAGAGTAACCAGTAGATTCCCTTGACACTAGCAAGGCTGCATCTGGAATACTGCAACCAGTTTTGGAACCCCAGTACAAGAATGGAGTTCATAAATTTAAGTCAAGCAGACAGCCACTGAGATGGTCAGAGGCTGAAGCACTTGCCCTTGAAGAGAGACTGAGGGAACAGGGCTTGTTTATCCTGAAGAAGAGACAGCTCTGGGAGGATCTAGCAGCAGTCTTTCTTGTAGTACTTACAAGGAGGTTACTGAGAAGACAGAGCCAGGCTTTTCCCAGAAGGGCCTGGTGGGAGGACAAGGGATCATGGTCATACACTGAAATAGTAGAGTTTTCAACTGTATATAAGAAAAAAGGTAATTGTGGGACAATTAGCATAGGAACAGTCTGTCCAGAGCAACAATGGAATCAGTTGTTGGAGATTTTCAAGACCAACTGGAAAAAGTGACAAGCAGCCCAGTGTCAACACTAAAACATTGACCATGCTTTGAGCAGGAGGCTGGACTACAGACCTGCTCAAACTCCCTTCCAGTATGAGTGATCTATGATTCTGTACAAATCCCAAACTCCACCAGATAGATAATCTCATCAAAGTATTGTATAAAAGTATTTTAGCCTTTCTGGTGAAGGGTATTTCATTTGTTTACTTAAGAAAATTAGAATGATAAATCAGAATGTTTTTATAAGCATAAGAAAAGAAGATGTAAGTCCTGACCATCTTAACTCATCTCTGCCACAAAAATAAAAGTTATAATGTTATTATAAAAATCAAATGGGAACACACAAAAAAAATTAACCTGATTTTGTGTAGGAAATATCTTCCCAGTTACAGTACAGAACAGAGAGGATCAGTCAATCCCTTTCCCTCTCAGTATGTGAAAAACTTTGGAGCAAAACACACAGTCTAACCATTCCCACGTATTACAAACCTCAAAAAAAAAAAAAAATCAATACCCTGTAGAGAACTTAAAACCTTTCCCAGAGAAACTAAGTGCCATAAAATCCTACAGTGTTGTGTTTCACAGGACAATAATGAGAGAGGTTTATGGCACCACGAATATTCTAGGTCATTGCAATAACAAGGCATCTCTTCAGTGAAGATGACTATGTTAAGGAGTGGGTGATAGCCTACACTATAAAGGAAGGGGAAAACATTATCCATGCCAATCTAATACACTAAGATACGTCTGTCTTACCGCACATTTGGCAAGTCCTTCAGCTTTTTGCAGACAAGTAAAATACACCAATAAAAGACTAAGAGTATCAATGCATTCTTCCCTACATTCTCTCTCTAGTTTGAGCCAATTTTTGATCTTTTGAAGATAGAGAGGGAAAACTCCAGAGCCAAATTTTACCTCCAGTTGTTAAGAAAAAATAAATCAGGTTTGGCAGGAGCCTTGAAGCATGGGCTTCATACATTATTAATTTAGCACAATAAACAGGATCAACAAGGAGTTGAGAATACCAACAAATAAGAAGTCTACAGACTTTTCAAACTGTCTGCAAACTGTAGACTTTTCACTCACAGGCAATTCTCCCTCCAAACCCAGTATGACCTATGTGACTCTGTGCAGTCATCTCAGTTTCAGAAAAAGTCTCCAAGCAAACAACAAAAAGCTGTTTTCAGACTGTGGTATAGCCATGCTATTAAATAAATAAACAATTGCATGTACTTTTTTTTTTTTTTCAGAAATTTCTTAGCTGTCAAATGCACATTGAATATAGTTTCAGCTGAAGAATAAATAGAATACATAATTCTGAAACCTAAAATCATACACATAACTGAGGAGAGGCAAATTTCCCTCACTCCTCCCAAAACAGAAACCAAAACAGCATCCATCACCGTGTTGCCAGGATATCAGACATATAAATCTCACTGTTCTCTGCCTTGACAGCTTTCAGATATACTTCACTTCAGATACACTTAACAAATGTGTAAACATGCTCACCACATCCCACCCGAGTAATTTAGTTTGATCCCAAGAGAAACAATGACCACTGCTTGGCCATTTTTATGTTAAGGCCCCAAAAGGGTGGGAATGAATAGAGACTTCATCCAGGCACTTTGCCAAAACTTTCTTAAGGTGCGTATGTGCGTATCATAAATAAATGTCATCAAGAGTCCAGATCAGCTCATTAAAAGAAAGAAAAAGAGAACAAAGTAATTACTTCACCCCTTTTATCACATTAAATACATTCTCCTTTACTTGCATAAGAGCACAGAGGTGTAATAATAGTGCCACCCTACTCACTGTAAAAGCACTCTTACTGCTTTTACAGTGAGAATTACTTTCAAAAGAAGTAGCCTTCAAATCTGAAGTTGATAAAACTGTGGTCACTTGGTATCTTTCTGCTGCAAGGGAAAACCACAGCTAGGGACTTCCCACCAAGAGTGCCATCTCCTGAATGTGCTTCAATTAAGGTGCAGTTAGCTCTGCTGTCTCTAGTGGAACTCTTCAAGGTCACAAAGAGTATCTTCATCAGGATCAGTAAATGGTAACTGGAAAATGAGAGGTAAGGCCCTAGCATGGACTTGGGGTGGAATGAGTAGCAGGCAGATTGTAAAGCACAGGAAAAACAAGTTGACATTACTGCGCTTCTTTACTGAGGCCTCCAACACTGAGCTGGATGGTGATTTCTGACCTCTGAATTTTCATTCCTAGCTAAACATATTCTTGGATGTTTTAAATACTTGGATCAAAGATTCAAATTCTAGGGACGCCTGACCAGCTAGAAATGGAAGTGTATCCAGGCCAAGGTTTCTCTTAAATCTTTCATTTTAGATTAGTTACTAAGGAAGGTGTAACTCGTTTGTATGTCATGTAATTGGTTTCTGCTACTGTGAAATCACTGGTACTACTGGCAACAAGTACCCTCATGAGGGTTTTTGTGTTATTTTATATTCCAGAAATATTTTCCTTACAAACTATCCTTCATTACAGTATGTAGATCTTCGGAGTACCTAGATATTCATGTCAGATTGTACTGAGTATTATTATAACAGGATCGCTTAAAGGATATACTGTAAATCAAAGGAAAAAAAAATCTGCTGCTGCTATAGCAAGTCCCCAGTGATACAATTTTCCATACTCTAGTGGTGCATTATAAATCAATGCAGAGGCAGTCTCTTAAAATAAGCATATGCTACCACTGATTCCTTGTATCAAGTCACACAATATTTTCAGTTTAACTTGTTGCCTAACTACTAGCACACCTGGGTAATACTGTTCCCAGGCAACACGGTATAAGCACAACAAGAATAAAGCAATGGAAATTTCAAGGCGGTGTTTTAGTAGAAGCCTTCTGAGAAGGAAAGGGAAATTGAGAATATAAGGCATTCAAACCACAGAACTCAAGGCATTAATAGAGCTTAATCCAGAAAAGGGTAAATCCTCAGGAAAAGGTCAAAGAGAAAGTAAAACCAATTATGAGAACATTAAAGATAAAAATAGCTAATACAGCATCTGTTTTCATGAAGATATGTGTATATATATAGAAAAGAGAATATGTGTCATCTTAGAAACCTACCAAGATTACCAGGGCAAACCAGTGTTTACTTAGGAATATCTATGAACTCTTTTCTGTGGGCTTCCAGGGCTGTCAGGAGTGCCTGGACAATCACTGTGGTTCAGAGCTGCTGAGCTGCGCCAGGACTGCGGGCTGAGGAGCCCTCTGAGGCCACGGAGAATTTTGGCCTCTCATAGACATCCTGCAATCTATGCATGTCCAAGGAGACCCAGAGACTAAGCAGGCTGAACTTCTTACCCACTCCATCCTCTGTGATTTGGGGAAAACTCGAAGCATAGTTTCCAAATAAGCAGCAAAGGCATGGAGGATGGTATTCCTCTGCTAAAAGCAATCTGGCACATTGAAGGAGGTCTAGGTTTAAAAGCTATGTAGTTAGGCTTGAATTTAGGCAGATATCCTAAAGCAGCTGAAAGGGGGGAGTGGGGAGGAAGAAAGAGAAAAAAACTCCAGCCCCCTCACCACACATTTTCTTGTGGTCTGTGTCTTCCTAGCTCTGTAAAAAAAAAAAAAAAAAGAAATTCTTAGGAATCATCCAGTGTACATTTTCTTCCATCTGCGTCTTCCTTGCTTTGTGAAAAGTATTCTCAGGAATCTTATAGTTTGGTGAAGGCATGTAAAGGTTGCACTCCTGAGAACAGTCAGTATCACTGCTGTGCACAAAAATGCTGTCCACGTTCTGATATAGAGTTAATACCTCCAGATTCTATTTTAAGATAAAAAATTGGCACGGGGAGCCTATTCTACCAGCCTTAGTTATGCAACTCCCATCACATGTAATTTTACACAAATGTGATGTGGCTTTGAGAGGACAACTATGCCTAGTTCAGTTTGGTAAACCTGAATTGTAACTGAATTTATTTCAATAGTCTTAGGTCCAAGGAGCATCAAGAAATATTCCACCCCTTCCTAATGCTGGTGGTGATTCCTACCAAGCAAGTTGCAGAAATGGGTTTATGTTCTCATAGTGCAGCCTGTTGGTCTGCAGTGCCCAAAGGGGAGGGGGACAGGCTGTAAGGCAGCTCTGGGGTAAATTGGCTGGGAGGCCCCATGGAAGCCATGAGGGACACTGTGGAAAGGTCTGTGCCACCTTGCAGGGGAGTATGGGTGTAAGGTGTGGGGATAGACAGAATGGGGAAAATCAGGGCTGAGACTACTAAGATGAAGTTGGGTGAGGTTTCCATCTCAGGGAGCAGGACAGTACACGTGACTCCCATAAGAGTGTGGGGTGGCAGGGTAGTTGATGGGCAAAAGGAGCAAAATATATGGCAACTGGTTAAATACAGGTGTCCTGGTTTTGCTAGGATAGAGTTAATTTTCTTCTCAGTAGTTAGAAGAGCTGTGTTTTGGTTTCAGTTCAGACTTGCTATGAGAACATCGTTGATAAAAGTACTGATGTTATTAGTTGCTGCTGGAGCTCAAGGCCATCATGTTTGGCTGTTCACAGCTGCATTAGGACTGGGAGGGAGAAACATAGTGAATAGCAAACCCAGAACTGACATTTGGATGTGCCAATGAGATATTCCATATCATACCACGTCATGTTTAGTATATTATCTGCGACTGACTGGAAAGAGAGGGAGGGAGTCGCACAGGTTTTGCTCAGGTTCTCGC